AAATCTCCTCTGCACCCTCTCTAAAGCTTCCACATCTTTCCTGTAATGAGGTGACCAGAACTGAACACAATATTCCAAATGTAGTCTAACCAGAGTTTTATAGAGCTGCAGCAGAACCTCATGGCTCGTAAACTCGATTCCCCTGGCAATGAAAGCCAACACACCATACGTCTTCTTTACAACCCTATCATCTTGGATCGCAACTTTGAGGGATCTATGGACGTGGACCCCAAGATCCCCCTGTTCCTCCGCACTGCCGAGAATCCTGCCACGTCGGTCTTGTTTACTGTTGGCATGGGGCCTTACATTTAACGCAGTTTTGCTGTAGGTCAGCATGCAATCATGATCTTATGCGGTCTTAGGAGTTCTGGCAGTCGTTTCTGATATATTTCTGATGTAGGTTGGTGTTGCTTGAGTCTTCTGTTGTACCGTGTCCTCTGGACTGTCGTTTGTGCTGTAGGTATCAGCAGGCGAAACATCTTGGGTATCTGTTGTCGGTAAACACTCGGTGCAGGTGTCCCTCTTCCGTTCTCCGGAGTTATGGGGTTTTGCAGTGTGATGTGGCTCGTCTTGATGCAGCCCTGTTTGTGTATGGTGGGGTGGTTGCTATTGAAGTTCAAGATTTGGTCTGTGTGTGTGTGTGTGTGTGTGTGTGTGACCTTCCCATACACTCAGGTCCAGAGTTCACCATTAGTCAGTCTCTCTACCATTGCGTCCAAGAACGGGAGCGGTTTGTTGTTTCCTTCCTCTTCAGTGAACCTAATCCTCACGGAGATGCTGTTAACGTGCTGGTGGGTTTCGTCTACTTTTGTGCGTTTGATTATTACGAACGTGTCGTCCACGTACCTTATCCACGGTTTCGGTTGGATTACGGGGAGGGCTATGTGTTCCGGTCTCTGCATCACTGCTCCCGTGACGAGGCCTGAGATGGGTGATCCCATCGGTGCGCCGTTGCTCTATTTGTATTATCTGGCCGTTGAATGTGAAGTGCTTCGTGAAGCGTAAACCTAGTGGTTTCAGTAAGCTGTCCTCACTAGCGGTATGTCCCTGGACAAGCAAACGACAGAGAGGCAAGGGAACTCTATTAACAAACACACAGACCCCATATACAGACCGCTGCTTAAAAAAAACAGAACCAAAAGTGACGAGGCCCGTCACACCGGAGGATCATATAAATACAGAATGGAGCAGAGCACCAATGCTTCGATTAGAGGTTGTACAGAACGGTGACGAAACTTTTGCACGTTGCATAACAACAGGCTCAGCGAGCAAACGAACAACCACACCCACAACCCAAGCTGCAAATTTTTGCTGAGACTCTTTTTTTAAAAAAAAAAGGTCTGTTGGACGTTTTGTGCCTCACGATGAGTGTATAGTGTACCTGCTCGCGATGCGGATGTGGTCATTATTCTCTCGCGGGGCGAGGTGCTGTTATTTGTCAGACTGCCAGTTGTATTAGGTAAATCGTCAGGAGCTACCTTTAGTTCAGCTGCCTATCGAGAAATCTCACTGACCACCGAGCGCTGAAACTATGATTTAAACTTCATTAAACGTAGCAACCAAAGTAAGACCCCCCCCCCCCCCCAACCTCAAATTAAGCCTCTCACCTCAACCTGGCTGCTTTCCTATTAATGGTGACCCCCACCAGCAGCGAATGTCACTGACCATGGGTTTTGTGCCGTTTTGTTCCTCTAAGTTCTGCCGTTGTGTTCTTACACGGTTTTCCTTGTCCCTCAGGTCGATGGGGTGATATATTGTTGATGATCTTTTGGATTCTTAACCTGAGAACCTAAAACAGCAGGAGTGGGCTCCATCTGGCCCCTCGAGCCTGCTCCACCATTCCATAAGATCATGGCTGATCTTCTTAATGGGCTCAGTTCCACTTTTCCCCACACACTCACCGTAACCCTTAATTCCTTTACTGTTGAAAACGTTGAACAAGGTAAAAAATCAACTGCTTCACTGGGGCAGGAGAATCCCGCAGATTCCTAACCCTTTGGATGAGGAAGTTCCTCCTCTGCTCAGTTTGAAATCTGCTCCCCCTTTGTTTTGAGGTTGTGTCCCCTCATTCTAGATTCACCCCCCGCCCAGTGGGAACATCCTCCCTGCTGCTGTCTTATCTATTCCCTTCACACGTTTCTATATCGTTCATCGCAAATTGTCGATTACTCTTCTGGAGTCCCTGAGTTCACAGCTTGCTTCCTTGCGAGAAGCAACTCTTGTGTTCTGAGCTGAATGGGCATTGGTCGGTTGGTTGTTCGAAGTTGCACCTTTTCTGCAGTTAACTCCTGAAAGCTGAGTGGCAGGTAGATAGGGCGGTGAAGAAGGTGTTTGGTATGCTTGTCTTTATGGGTCAGTGTGCGTTGAGTATAGGAGTTGGGAGGGTCATTGCGGCTGTACAGGACATTGGATAGGGCCACTTTTAGAATACTGCGTTCAATTCTGGTCTCCCTGCTATAGGAAGGATGTCCTGAAACTTGAAAGGGTCAGAAAAGATTTATAAGGATGTTGGAGGGTTTGAGCTACAGGGAGAGGCTGGGGCTATTTTCCCTGGAGCGTTGGAGGCTGAGGTGGGGGGTGACCTTTATAGAGGTTTATAAAATCATGAGGGGCATGGATAGGGTGAATAGTCAAGGTCTTTTCCCCCAGGGGTGGGGGAGTCCAAAATTAGAGGGGCATAGGTTTAAGGTGAGAGGGGAAAGGGACCTGAGGGGCAGCTTTTTCACACAGAGGGTGGTGCGTGTGGGGAACGAGCTGCCAGAGGAAGTGGTGGGGGCTGGTACAATGACGACATTTAAAAGGCATCCGGATGAGGACATGGGTAGGACGGGTTTAGAGGGATATGGGGCCAAATGCTGGGAAATGAGAGTAGAATAATTTAGGATATCTGGGTCAGCACGGACAATTTGGACTGAAGGGACTTTCCGTGCTGTACAGGTCTATGACTATAACTCCTTAAATTCTTCAACAGGACAATCATTTACCCTTCTGGTGTTTTTTTTCATGTAACATTGAGTTGTGCTTTTTCGAGGCATGGCTAATGGCTTTCAAAATCCTATGTAACAGCTTCTCTTTATTTCTTAACAGCTTATTCCCGATGGTTGGTTCAGATGGTACAGTAGTACCTTCTAGGCCGGTGTGTGCCGTGGGTTTTGGTCCCTTCAACTCCAGCAGGGATTAGTAGTGTCTCAGAAAAGGCTGATTGGACACTTAGGCTGCACAGTGGCTCGGTGGTTAGCCCTGGTGCCCCTCACTGCCACACACCTGGGTTCAATTCCACCCTCGGACGAATGTCTGTCTGTGTGGAGTTTGCATGTTCTCCCCGCGTCTGCGTGTGGCTTGCTCCAGTTACCTCCCACAGTCCAAAGGTGTGCGGGTTCGGGTGGATTGGCCGTGCTAAATTGTCCTGTAGTGTCCAGGGATGTGCAGGTTAGGGTGGATTAGCGCATTGGTAAATGTGGAGTTGAGAGGATTGGGTCTACGCGGAATGCTGTTCAGAGGGCCAGTGCTGACCCGATTGAGCCGAATGGTCTCTTTCCACTGTGCGCTGATTCTGAGATTCCAGACTGGGTCATCCACAATCTCTTCGCGCACGCAGCAGAGTTAGATCTGTTGGTTGTTTCACTTCCCAAATAGTTACTGAAGTTTAGAACACCATGTGATCGTGGTCCGCTGGACTTTGTAAGGGAAAAAAAGCTTGAGTTCCCTGATGGATTATGACTTTTTGTTTTCTCTCTCTGTTCCCTTGCAGGAGGTGGGGAGCATCATCGGAAAGGTTAGTGAGACCATTTCTGCGTCGTTTGTTTTGTTTTGTTTTGTTTCGTGTACGGGTGCTGTGTTTCTCGGGTGGTCTAACCACATTCTCCCCCCTTTCTGCTCCCTGTAGAAAGGAGAGACGGTGAAGAAGATGCGAGAGGAGGTAAGTGCGTGGGTGCTGGCTGTGAGCCGGTCTCCGTCGGATGGTGGGGTAGGGGAGGAAGCATTGGTTTGGGGATAACGTTTCAGTGCCTGTAAACCCAGTCTCACTCTTTCTCTCTCCCCCTCTCTCTCTCGCCCCCCCCCTTCCCTCGCCCCCGCAC